TACTCACCAGAAGGACAGAGAGAGACAGAGAGACAGAAAGTGAGAAATCACCCCTCAGGGGGGATGGCCATACCACAATCCCTTCTCCTCCCTTCTCTTCTTGGGATCTAGGTCATGCACGCACACACATCTGGCGTGAGTTTAAGCCACCGTGGTTGACTACACATGAGTCCAGCGACATAGCCATTATGCCAACTGCTGGTCCCCCATTTTTCTGATAGAAGCAGCCACAGGAAGATCCTGTGGGCTGGCCTCTGGGAGATAGGTATGGGGGTGGTGGGATTCCCAGGTAAAGTAATGCTTGAGCTCAGATCCCTCTTCAAGTCTAATCTCATCTCTTCAGATGTCTGTAGTCTCTTAAGTGAGGATCCTAGATATTTTTCAGTAATTCCTGCATTGGTGAGTGCTTCATGTATAAACCATCATAAAACATACAACATGTGCGAGGCATACATGCATATATGGTATTGGCTAAACACCAGTCAGGTTTTCTGACCTGTATGTTCCAAGCATGAGGCAGAATTATATGAGAGTTCAGGTCTTTTAGAGTACATGGTGGGACCAGCAGATGGCATAATGGTTACATCACTGGACTACCACCTAGTGGATGATGGTTTGAGTCCTGGACCTGGTCACTTCAAATTCACACCGGGCGCATGTGTGTGCATGCCCAAGATCCCAGAGGAGAATGGAGGAGAAGGCCATCCCCCTGGGGGAGTGATTTCTTTCTTGCTGTCTCTTTGGTGAGCACGTGCACCCACAGCAAAAAAAAGAAAAAAAAATCTTTCAAGAGAGATAAGGAGTACATAGTTGCAGAAGGAAAACAAAGAAATGTATTTCATGAAAACAAAACAAACAAACATCAGAAACCCCACAGAGGTAGAGTGATGCTCGTGGAGAAGCCAGTGAGGTATGGCACAGGGGTCAAGGACTTTGCATCCCCTTGGAGACTGATCTACGAAGGTCCAGAAATGACGTGGGTGTACTGACGCCTCCAGAGCCAGCACCTGGGACACACCAATGAATTCAGCCACTAAGCTCTAAAGGTCCGGTGTTCACTCTTTAAGGCCAGGACCTTGCGTAATTCTGCCTAAGATCATGCCCAGCGGGATACTGTCGATCATAAAACCCTAATCCAGGTGCCAGAAGGTGGCATGGTGGTTATGGCACTGGATCCCACATGGCCTATCTGCAGTTCGAGTCCTGAAGTCTGCAGTGTGAAAATTATGCCAAGAATGTGTGTGCACATGCCCAGTCCTGAGAGGAGACTAGAGAAGAAGGAATGGCAGTGTGACCATCCTCCCTGGGAGGGTGATTTCTTACCTTCCCTCTCTTTGTCTGTCTCTGGTGACATGCGCTCTGTGGCAAACATTCAAGAAAAAGAAGTCTCTGATCAGCGTCGTGGGTGGGTAGCGCACACCAGCATATCTTGGCTGCTGCCCTCTGCATTTCGTATGATCTTTATTGTTTTTACTTTGTTCTAGCATGTGTTTTGCTGCATTCTAAAGTTATCCTTGGCCTCCTTTCCTACTGGAAGTTCCAGGATCTCTATGAGGTCAGAATTCCTCAGGATAATATTAAAATATTATTAGGTTGTTGGAAAAGTCATGATGTGTTTTTCTATGCAAAAATGCATCATGACTTTTCTGACCACCTTATATATTATCAGAAATATGGAGCTGAACCTCTCTTTAACACTTAATTCATTCAGTAAATATTGACTGAGCCCCTACTGTGTGCTGATGCTTTGGATCATAAAGAAATGTTAATGCATCAGCTTGCCCTTTCATTGAGAATCCATCCACGTCTTTACCGATAAGATATCTTACTAGTTAAGATTTCTTCCTCCCCTCCCCTCCGTACCTGGGAAGATTCATTCCCCGGGAGAGCTGCTTTGCTGTGAGCAGACAAGCCAGGCTGGGATGAGAGTGAGGAGGATTGAGCGGGGATTACAGAGCCATCAGGCAGAAGAGAAAATGCTTGGATGAGAGAAGGGGATTAATTTTATTTTTATTCCTGTGAGTGTGGGGGAGGTTGGGGAACTGACAGGAGAAGGGAGAGACGCTTGTTCATATTGTCCTCTCTCCCTACCTTTTGTCAGAATTCCTACCCATCCTTCCAAAACTCATTCTTTAGTGCCATACTCTCTCAGGACAGATGAGAATACTCTCCCTCCATTGCAGCACTCACATGGACTGTATGTTACTTTGAGCAAAATATTTGTCTTATATTAAATTAGTGGGTTTTTTTGTTACCATGGAGTGGGTTTGAAACACTTTCAATTTTTTTTTATGAGTTGCATTTCTTTTATCTTCTTTGTTCCATTGTATTTAAGATAGATGGTCCTAATACTTGTTATCATATCAACTACAGTAATAGTAACCCTTTATTGAGCAGTTACTTATTATTTGTTTATTAATTTTTTTCCCATAGGGCATGTGTGCTCACCAGAGGGAGACACAGAAAGAGCGAGAGAGACAGAGAGAGGAAAAGTGAGAATCACCCTTCAGGGAGTGGCCACACCACAATCCCTTCTCCTCCATTCTCTTCTTGGGATTTGGGGCATGCACACACTCATGTCTGTTGTGATTCTCAAGCTGCTGGATCTGGAGCTTAAACTGTGGTCTGCCATGTGGGAGTCCTAGCACCCTAGCCACCCTGCCACCTGCTGGCCCTGAGCAGCTACTTGTTATTGACAGGATTTGCATTAGGTGCCTTGCTTCCCTTTTCTCAAGCCAGGTATTGTGATATATTATTCCCGTTTTACAGATGAGGGATTTGAATCTTAGATTTGACTGTGCTCCTCATCAAGTAGTGAAGGGATCAAGAAGTGAACACGTCTGTCTTGCTTCTTCTTATCTGTATTTCATCATCTCCTCGACTACACCACACCTGTGAGGCAATGGCAGAAATGATGTCCCTGTGGGGCCCCAGTACCTAGTGCTCTGTGTGGTGCACGTGTAGTAAACCTTTTCTTTTGGATGATCAACAGATGGTCAAGCTTGACCCTTACCCACTCATTATTCATTGTTACAACTTTCCTTGCTCCATTCCTTACAGCTTGCTAAAATGTTACCTGCCTGAAGTGGAACATTTACTCAGGGAACTTATAAATATGCTAATGAAGCCAGAGGTCACTGATTCATCAAGTACAGAGAAGTTCTAAGGCTCCTAGGTCTGCCTAAATTCCCTGCCCAAGATGACAAGGAGGGTTGCCCTCCTTCAGCAAGACATGGAGGGAGAAGTGGGTACCGCAGTGAAAATCTAGCGACTCCATGTTTTCCCTTGGCAAAATTGTACTCATCCTATAACACTCAGTTCCAGTGTCTTCACTACGTGGAAGTTTCCCAGGCTGACAACTGACCAGGCCTTCCTTGGCATCCCCACCAACTTTATTTTAGCTGATTTATAAAAGCAATTTTGTGGTATTGCAATTTCAGAAGTGCCTGTCCTGTTAGAGTGTGTGTTCTGAGAAACATAGACCATGCATGCCTATTCTGTCTCTTCCTTAGCCCAGAGACGGGAAAGGTGTAAACCAAGCCATCCAGTGGGTAGTGGGGATATTCTGTAGTCCCCCAAAGGGCCTTGTCTGCAGCCACCTTTATTATTAGACTCCTCTGCAATCTCCTTCTCTCACCAGTGTCTCCACTGTTAGGGCAGCCTGCTTTCTAGCACTGGGGCATTTCCATGGCCGTGTTCCCCAGTCTGGGTGGAAACCGACTGAAGTTCAATCCCCACCTAAACAGATCAGTGGTGCATACACTGTCTGGGTATGCTCAGCCGTCTGGGTTAGGGCAGCTTGGCCTGGCATCAGGTTTTTGCTTTTTTTTTTTTCTTTTAAAATAAACTTTTATTTTAGACTATTTTTAGATTTACAAACAAGGTAAAAGACAGTACGGAGAGTTCTTATCTACCACTCACCTGGTTTCTCCCATTGTTAGCATCTTACATTAGAGCATTCACTTATTATCAAAACGAAGAGACTGATATCGGTACATTACCATTCCTGAAACTGCAGACTTTATTTGGATTTCACCAGTTTTCCCACTAATGTTCTTTTTTCTGGTCTAGGATCCCAGCCAGGATACTACTTTGCATTCAGTTGTCTTGTCTCTCTGGCTTCCTGTGCACTGTGACAGTTTCTCAGGCTTTTCCTGGTTTCTCATGACCTTGTGGGTATGGCATCTGCTGTACAGTGCTTTGGGAGTGCGTTTCCTGTGGCTCCTGCTGCCTGCTACAGCTGGGCTGGGGGTGGGGTAGCTGTTAAGAGGCATTACTACGGGATGGTTGAGAACAAAGACTCTGCAGCCAGCAGCCCAGGCCCTCCTAGCTCAGGCACTCCCTGCTAGATCTTGTGCAGGTTACTTGGCTTCTTTATAATTTGGTTGTCTCAGTTCTAAGATGGGGAGTGTCCCCAGAAGATTGGGGTAGAGAATAAATGTTGTGTCAATGTAAATCACGTCTTTTTTTTTTTTTTTTTTCTTTTTTGGAAAGGTTTTTTGCTATAGGGCGTGTGCGCTTGCCAGACAGTCAGAGAGAGACAGAGAGATAGGAAGCAGGAAATCAACCCCCAGGGGGGATGGCCACGCCGCAATCCCTTCTCCTCCATTCTCCTCTCGGGATCTTGGGCACGCATGCACACGCGCCCGGCGTGAGTTTTAAGTCACCGGGTCCGGGACTCGAACCGCGGTCGACTACGTGGTCGACATAGCCATTATGCTAACTGCTGGTCCCAATGTAAATCACGTCTTAGGAGAATCCTTGGCACACATTGAGTGTTCAGTGAATGCTGCTCGTTGAACTATTATTTAAGTACTCTAAAAGGACTGACCAGAGCAGGAGAGGTTATGGGTCAGAGGCCAAGGGTTGAGGAGAGGGCAGAGGATGGAGTAAGACACTGTTAGTTCCTTCCTTCCTCCTCTGTGTGTCCTTGAGAACTGACCTCTGTGGAGGTGCTGTGGGGGGCCAGGACAGGAAGGAGGTCAGAGAGTGAAGAAGCCTGGGATAGGAGAGGAAGGACCTAAATGGGTCCCTGAGCTCTTCAGGAGGAAGAAGAAGGTATTTGAATCTCCTTGAATGGCTCCTCGGTTGAGAGAGCAAGAAGCAGGTGTCATCTTCTCACCGTGATGGCCGTCTTGTAAGTTTCCTGTGTGTAAATCTACTGAATCTTCAAAATTTCCCCCAGGAGTGCCTTCTGCAAACATTCTCTATTAGGCTGTCCCTTTCCAGGCTCTACCTTGAATTCAGGTGGAGTTGGGTTCCTGTCTTCTCCCAGGTATGTTAGTCCTTGGGTTAAATGCTGCCCTCACTCATCATGTGGTGATTTCATCACCTGTCTGCTCTGCTTCCCATCATAGCAGGCGAGACCCTCGGGAGCAGAGGGTACTGGGTTTGTTCTGTGTCTCTCCAGCATCTTATACTGCTGGGCAAATGTTGAGTAGTCAATAATTACTTTCAGATGAATGAATAACAGATTTATTGATCTGCATGGACCCTTGTAATGAGAGGTTTGTGGGTGTGGTGGTTGGTTATGAGACCCTGAGATCCCTCTTTAACTTAATGCAGTAGTGAACATTGGATTGGACCAAGCAGGGTTTCAGTACAGACTTTGTTCCTCATTAACTGTGTGATTCTGGAAGAATGAACCTTTCTAACCACAGATTCCTCGTTTGTATAGATAGCATCTACCCAGATGCTATCTTTTTCTCTTTCCTTTTTTGAGACTTTTCACTGCTTCTACCCAAGACCTGGCTCAAGTCCTGGGAGGCAAAAGCAGATAGGATGACATAGCATGTGGAAATGGAACTTCAATGATTTTTATATATGACAAACAGAATATAAGTTCTTTCTCTCTCCTGTTTTTTTTTTTTTTTTTAAAGACAGGATCTTACTCTGTTGTGATTCTCCCACCTCAGCCTCTCAGCAGACAAGATAGCTGCACCACCACACCTGGCTCCTTTTTAGACAGGGTCTCACCGTGTTATCCAGGCCAGTGTTGAGGTCATGATCCCCATGACCTAGCCTCCTGGGGCGCTAGGATTACAGACTTACACCACCATGCCTGGCCTTTCGGTTGGACTGGGAGACAAAGCCAGGCCTCCCATGTGGCCCCAACCTGCAGAGCTCAGCATTTTAGCAGCCTGCATCACTGTGGTGGGCTGTAGGTTCTTCTGAAGAACACTTAGAAGATTAAGAAACATTGGTCATGTACACAAAGAAGATGTCAGATTCCATAGGATTTGAGTCCTAGGGGCCACGCTCACCAACAATGATAGAACTAGAAGTTAACAGCATGATAATAGTCCTTAGGCTAACTTACTCCGGACATTTAATAATATCTTTCTAAATAACTCTTGGGTTAAAAGGAAACCAAACAGGACCAGCTCTGTGGTGCAGTTGTCATGTGCTGCTCAGGAGAAGCTGGATCCCCCATGGTGACCACAGTGCAGATCTCTGGCCTCTTCTTCCTGAAACGTGCTAGTCATGCATGAGCGTTGAGGATCTAGTGGGCTGGAGCGTTGGAGGAAGGTGATCATGGCATGACCAGATCCTGTGGAGGGTGCTCCTGTCTGTGTGCCTCTCATTCTCGTGTGAGTGCACACACATACTCTATTATGAATAAAGAAAATTACAATGATATAAAAAGAAAATTAGAAATGAATGATGAGAACAGTAAACATCAAAATTTGTGAGCATGTAGCTGAAGCAGAATTCAGAGGGACCTCTGTTTCTTTGAATGCATGAAGTAGAAAAATGAAATATTTAAAATAAATGAAGTAAATTCCAGTGAAAGTTCCTCTTCCTGAGACATTTGCTGTCACCTTCTAAGAGTTGTCATTAGAGTCATATCTTCAGCAGAAACCCCTCTTAGAGAAAACAAGGCCTGGCATGGTCTTGGGCATTTAATATGTATCCATTGTTCCTTTAAACACTCTACACATTTCACATGTAATATTTTAACTGATTTAATTTTCACAACAATCTCTATTATATATTTTTTTTCCTAGAGGGTATTTGTGATCACTGGAGATAGAGAGAGGGAAAGTGAGAAACCACCCCTCAGGGGTGATGGCATGTTGCAGTCTATTCTCCTCCATTTCACCTTTCAGGACTGGGTGCATATGCACATGTGTCTAGCATGTTCCCCAAGCTGCTGGGTCCAGGATTTGAACCACAGAGTCAACTATGTGGGATCCATTCACCTTCATCATCATGCCACTGGCTGGCCCAATCTGCACAGCAATTCTCTGAGCAGATTATTCATGTCATATTACAAACAAGGACACCAAGGTACAGAGACGTTAAGTAACAAGATGAAGATCACGTGACTGCTAAGGGGCAGAGCTGAGTTTTCTGCTCAGTCAGATGTAACTCTGTCTCCGTGCATATTCTCACACCCACAGGGTTATACCCACTGGTGTTTCTTTCATTCACATGTGTAGATTAATCCAGTTCAGTTTTACAGATGTTGCAGCAGCATCTGAAATAGGAAGGGTATGCTGCTTAGTCAGGGCAGGAAGGGTGCCTTCAACTAAGGTGTAGAGGTGAGAGGGGCGGCCCTGGGTTCCCCCAGATCTGCCTTTGAGACCTAATGATGCTCTTAGCTGAATTGCTTTGGATGAATTATTTAACCTCCTCAAACAGTTGTCTCCTCTGTAAATAGAGAAAGCAACACTTCCCCCTCAGAGAGTGGATGTAAGAGTTAAATAATATATTTGAAACCATGGGAGAACCTGCAATTACACATGCACACACGCTATTATCTACTCTTATTCTTACAGCAGAAAGCAAGGTGGGGGTCTTTAGGGACTTTGGCTTTCTCTAGCTGTCCACAGACTCACCTCCTTGGCCTAATCTCAGTTTATTCCTCCGTATCTTCATGTTTCAAATAGGGCTCGATCTTGCCTCCAATTCTCCAGCTTGAACATCTTGAAAGTAAAAGCACAAGGCTCACTTAGGGTATCATCAGCTGCCTGTTTCCTCTTGATTCATCTGACAGGGGTTGGGGAATGCAGTTCAGGGGAAAGGGGAAGTGTTCTTTCTGGGAGGGTTTCACTGGAGGAGAAAACACAGAGTAACAGGGAGAACTGGGCACCGGGCAGGGTCATCTGACTGGATAAATGGGGAACAGAGAGCACGCAGTGACTGTACACGCTCACTTGGAATTTCCGCCCCTTTAAATGAAAGGAGAGGGACTGGGAAAAACAATGGGCAGCATGCGCCTGCAGGTGTGAATGAGTGTGTCTGGAAACCTTGTAAATGGTGGTGCTTGTCTTTAGGAATCCACAGACCGTCATCCTAGAGGGAGACAGGTGGGGCAGTTGGGCAGCAAGGACCAGAAAGACCAGATGGCATTGTCTCTTTGAATCCATTTGTCAGGAGAAAATCTGGGTTAGAAAGGAGAGTCTGTCTCTAGAGCAAAGAGCTGTTTGAATGTGAAGAGGAAAAGGTACAAGAATTTGTACCCACTCCTCGCGCCCGGAGAGTCCTGGCCCACCAGCCCACCATCCTTTAATTTCTCATGGTGGGAGGTTAAGAACCAGATGCCTGTCTCTTCTGTTATTTTTTCCACCCAGAAACTTGCCTGGGATCTCTTGAGCTTTCTGTTTTTTTTTTTTTCCCCCCTGGGACCCAGTCATCTCCATCCGGCCTAGCAGAGAGCTGGTAAATGGTGTGATCTTCCTTTCATCTGTCCTGCTGCTCTGGTTAGTAAAGATCCTCAAGGAAATGCTAACAATTTAAACTTACCACTCACCATGTTTTAGCTTTGGAACTCCCTTGTTTTTCTTTCTTCTTGGAGACATCCGATGATCTACTTTGGTGATTTTCCACCTTTCTTTTCCTTCCTTCCTTTCCTTTCTTTTTTTTTTTCCCTCTTTTTTTTTTTGACAACAGGACTATTTCTTAAAATAAAATCTTATATTCAAGCCTAGTGTTTAAAGCAGATACAAGTGATGCTATGCAGATTGAAGAAGGACGAGGCCCAGGAGACCCACCTGGGGTAGTCCCTGACTACCATGGGTGGTTTCTGAGGCACCTGGGAGGTATCCTGGGGTTCCACAGAGCAGCGCTGAAAAGCTAATCTCCTTACTTGGTGAGAAAACCAAGGCTTAACGGAGACAAGTGCTATCCCCAGGGCCCACAGCTCCTCTCTCCCAGCTGGAGATTTCTGCAGGGCTGGACTGTTGCTCCTCTGAGCCCTGGCTGCACTCGGTGGTGACAGGCTGCTTTCAGCAGAATGCAGTACCGTAAGAAGGGCTTAGGACAGACGACCTCAGCTTGAGCCCTAGTTCTGTAAATCAGTAGCTGGGAGACCTTGATTATCTTATAACCTGCCTGACCTGCAGGTTCTCAACTACAAGAGGTAGATGGGATTCGTTGACTCGGTGTACATAAAGCAGCTACGGTGCTGTGGCCATTCAGCAGGGGCTCTATAGGGGCTCTATAGTGGCAAATATTTTCATTAATTTTTTGAGCTAATGAAAAGGACTCATGGCTGACAGAAGAAGACAGAGAAAGCAATTGAGAGCAAGGCAATGAACACTGAGAGGAATTGCAGGTTAAGTCTCTTCAAGTAGAGTTCTGGGGCCCTGAACTCTTTTTCTTTCTCTCTAGAGATGAAGTCATAGCCTTGGCTGTCCTTGAATTTTGGGGCACAGTGAAGGGTGGGACCAAGGGGAGCTAAATCCCAGGTTGTAACTCAGTGTTGCTATTTCATTGACGATAGCTCTCACCTCTCAGTCCTTTCTAGTTTCTGGTTTGCCTATGATTGTTGTACATTTTGGGGGGCTACAGTGGTTTTTAAAGCATGTGTATAATATGTAATAATCAAATCTCTGGGACCCTCCCTTACCCCTCACCCTCCAGATTTTCCCATTCCTTGACCTGAGAGGCATTGGGAGGCTGGGGAGGGGAGGAAGTGGGTGCCTGGGTTCGTGGTTCTCCTGTACGTTTGTTACTGTGGTGATATTGCGGTACTGCAACGTTCCTATTGCCACATGCTTTGATTCTTTGATAAAGATGCTGAAGTTCTCTTCTCTGCTAAGCTCAGTCATGTGGACTGAAGATAAAGAGCACTGTGTGCGTGCTTTGCTCATGGGTCTTGTGATACCCTTGGTCTGTAAGATCCCACCATTGTCAAAGGGAAGAAGCCATTGCCCAGGGGTCGGACAGAGTCCACTGGAGGGAAGCCTGGTGGTGGTTCCAGTTTCATGGGACTCCAGATAACATGTGATAATGACCTCTTCCTTGCATTTTCTGACCTGGAATAAACTTAGTCTTTATTATTTTACATTTTTTGGAAGTGACATGTGACAGTGGAAAATATTATGTGTGAAACCCAGAAACCTGGGTTCTATTCCCGCTGTACCGGTGACTTATAATGTGGTCTTAGGACTTCAGTGCCCCCATCTCTAAGTGAGAGGATTTGATGGGGGGAAAAAGGCTTAAGATTGCATTCAGTTATTAAAGTTTCGTATCTTTCGTCTCTTTCTCCTTAAAATGTAGGTTAAACCTTAGATCTAGGTTAAAGCAATAGAGAAGTAGGCTAGGTCTTATACATGATTCCACTTTGTCGAATTCTTACTGTGTGCTAGACATTGCATAAGGAGTTTTAAAATACTATCTTACTTAATCCTCACAACAGCCCTGCCAGACAGTATTAATTTTTAGAGATGAAGGAGGCAGAGAAAGGGTTGAGTGGATTTTGCAGGGAACCTCTCTGTGGTTGTAAAACCCAGGAGTACCTTACACTTTAGCAGTGCTGATAGGTATGCACCCATGTTGAACATCATGAACATCACGTTGAACGTGACAGTCAGTTGATGCCTACTTACTTTTTAGACGCCCAGTCCTTGGAGCTAAGACTTGTGAGATACTGTTCTTGACCTTAAGTTGCTTAACATTGAGCATGGAGTTGAGATTACACCTCACAAAACCATTAGGTGAAAATGAAGTGGGGAAAGTTTTATGGGGAAGTGGGACTTGAACTAAGCCTTGCAGATTGAGTCTGGATAGCAGAGGAGGGTGAGAAACATTCCAGTTATCCATATATTGGTGGTGCTAGGGAATGAGGGGATAGTGCTAATAGAAGGCCAGGAGCAGGAATTGATGTGATGTGTGCAGAAGGCACCTGGTGGGGAGCACTGGGAAATAGGACGAACAGCATGACTGTGGCCAGCTGCCAAAGATCTTGACAGACAAGCTGAGGACTTTGACCTTAGCCAGCAGGTGATAGGGAACCATCCTCTGTTGGGAAACAGGGACATAATGGGGTTGGAGCAGAGAGAACAGAGTGGGTAGGAGGCTGTTGCAAGGCTATAGAAGCTACTTCTCAGGCAGGGTCCAGCAACACACTATGATTCCTGTGTTGCAGATAAGGAGATCGAGGCTCAGAGATGTTCAATGAACTCTTTAGGGCTCAGTGACTAGCATGTGACAGAGCCAGGTGCAGAACACCGGCCATTGCGATGCTGTGGAACTGACCGTAGTGACTTACCCTGTAGTATGAGAACTTCTTGTAGAAGACAGTTCGTCTCACAGGGGATTCTCTTTTTTTTTTTTTTTTTTTTTTT